CTACCACAGTGTACTACTTTAGAAGGGACTAGTTTACTCACAGCCTGGTGCAGTTCCCAAGACCTGGCATCAGTGAATGTACAAGTGATAAATTGGAATAACTGAATGGCTATATGTACACTTCATTAATTCACCAATTATTTATTAAACTCCAGGCATGTTCTACAAACCACTCAGTGCAGAATTTTCAATTGATTGTGCTATTACAAAACTATCCTGGTTCTGAAATGAAGAAAACTAGAATGGATCTATTTTAGTTGAGTCATCAAGGAAGGACTCTCTAGGAAGCAGGAAGTCAGCTGAGAGCTGAAAGATAAGAAGACATCATGACAGTGTTCCAGAGAAGGGTAACTATATATGTAAAAGATTCTAAGTCAGAGATGAATTGTTGAAAGAATTAGAAATGTTTGAAGGACAAAAATAAGATAAGAACACAGTGGTCAATGAGGGGGACTAACATGTAATGAGATGAACAAAATCTCTAGACCATGGGAGAAGTCATTTCTTGGGTCTAAAAGTGCACTATTAAACTAGCTAATGTTTATGAAGATCACTTTGGCCAATATAAAGGCAAAGATCAAAAGAGTAGGAGTCAGTAAGAGGGTTCATATTCGGTGATAATTGTACTATGTGATACATGATGAAGGCTTAGACTGGGCTAGCAACAGTGTAGATTGGAAACTGACTGGAAATACATGTTGGAAAAGGAATCAAGGAATACCTTGCTATGGTAAATGAAAGGGAGTTATCAAGAGTGACTCTAAGCCTGGACATGGTTGTACTCCTAGGGCTCAGGAGGCTGAGATCAAGGGATCAAAGTTCAGAACCAGCCCTTGCAGAAAAGTCCTCTAGACTTCTTTTCCAATTAACCAGAAGAGTGCTGGACTGGAGGCATGGCTCAAGATATAAAATGCTAGCAGTGAACATGGTAAAACAGGGTATGAGGTTTAAGTTCAAGTTCAAGTCAAGCCCTGGTACCACCAAAAAAAAATGTACTAACTCTTAGGTTTCTGACCAGAGCCACAGATGGTGCCATTTATTTAAATAGAAAGTCTAAGAACGGAAAGGTTGGAAGATGTGTTGATTATAAGAATGGAGAGTTTTTAATTTTTTATTTAGAATAATCCAAACAGTAGTTTCAGGTGATTGTGTGTGTGTGTGTGTGTGTGTGTGTGTGTGTGTGTGTGCTGAAAGGAGTAGATTAGAAGGCTTCACTATATTATATAGATGGCATTTAAAGCAATGGAAAAAGAGAATATAAAGAAAAGAGGTCCAGAATCAAACTGTTAACATGCCAATAATCTCAGTGATCTCAGCGGTTATAGAAGAATCTGCCAGTAAACAGATATAAAATGAATTTTGCCATGGTGAGAAAGGAGGAAGGTAGAACAATTAAGGATCCATTGCATTGGAACAGCTGGTGGGTGATGTAGGCCTAGTCTAGAGTGAAAACTGATCATTTTCTTCATGCATCCTCTCTGATGGCATTCTCATATTATCTAATTTCAACTAATGCCTCTAGATCTGCATTTAAGTCCTAACATTTCCATGTGCTTGATGAAAATCTTACTTTGATTGCCCTCACTAGAACCTCAAGCTAAAAGATTAAAATCTAGTTAATTTTTCCAGCTACTTGCTTAGTTTTCCTTCTATTCTTACCCCAGTAACTGAAATGAAGAGATGGATTGTTCACTGTTTTGTTCTCTTTCTATTTTTTTAATGAGTAAACTATACAACATAAGTATATCAGTTATCCATCTTTAATATTAATCCTGCTAAGTTTTTATATGTAAAATATAGTTACTTACAAAAGCATCACTATTATCACAGGTAATAGTGAAATAGTTTTAGCCAGAGAAATTGTTACCTTTTTTTTTTTGGCAGTCGTGGGGCTTGAACTTAGGGCTTGGGTACTATCCCCTGAGCTCTTTTTCTTAAGGCCAGTGATCTACTACTTTGAGGCACAGCTCCACTTCAGTTTTTTTGTTGGTTGATTAGAAATAAGAGTCTCACAGCCCTTCCTGCCCCGGTTGGCTTTGAATTGGGATCCTCAGATCTCAGCCTCCCTAGTAGCTAGGATTACAGGTGGAGCCACTCCCCCTCCTTTTTTAAAGGACTTTATTTCCCTCAACTTTATCTTTTAAAATTTTATCTTTTGTCTAAGATATGGTATGAGAAAATTTTAAGACAGTTTGTAGAGAGATTTAGACTGGTAAAGCTATTCAACCTTAGCTGGAGGAGCTACTTTTATCAGTACATATAAGAATGAATCACTGAAAGTAGAGATGGGAATAGAGATGGATAGGAAAGACCTAAGCCATCTAATTCATCTTCAGATGAGGCAGGGAAGTCTCTATGACAAATGCCTTTGAAATATTATGCAATAAAAGTCTTATGTTACATGGGGCGCTGGTGGCTCACGCCTGTAATCCTAGCTACTCAGAAGGTGGGATCTGAGGACCACAGTTCAAGCCCCAAGAAAGTTCATGAGACTCTTATCTCCAATAAACCACTAGAAAACCGGAAGTGATGCTGTGGCTCAAGTGGTAGAGTGCTAGCCTTGAGCTGAAGAGCTGAGGTACAGTGCCCAGGCCCAGAGTTCAAGCCCCATGTCTGACCAAAAAAAGTCTTATGTTACAATGTTTCAATCATTTTTTGTATGACTATCTTCAGAGTTGTTCTCAGCTTTGTTCTCTGAACTCCTTTCCACATATCCCTGTCAGATGAGCCAAGCCCTCACTCTGTACATAGGTGTGATGAGGACAACATGAGGGTGAATATTGGTTAGTTTTCCATAGGGATGATGAGTCTACCTCACTGCCTTTTTGTGACTGGTTTCACACATGTATTACTCACAAAGAGCCATGGTTCAACATGTTGCCTAAAGTGGTTAAAAACTAGCAGAAATATCTATGTATTAAACATCTTCCTAATAGCATAGGGTTTCTGGTGGAATATCTGGTATACAGGATGCCTGCCTCATTGTGCCAATAGCGTTGCACTGGAAGGGAGACGGTAGAATTTGGGAGGGGTATCTTTTTTTAAATTCTTTAACTGTTCTTCAAGATCTCTCATCTCATTTATCACATAAGAATTTGTATGATCTTTAGAAACTGATAAGTCTAGTGTTTTTCTAATCATTGACACTGTATTCAGCTTTAGCCTTTTAAAACGTATTCTTAATACATATTATTTCTGTAATTCATGGGTTTTGTACAATCCTTAGCACTTTTCTATATGTGACATTAACATCCTGCGTACCTCTTCTACATCAGTAAAAAAAAATACAAAATACTAGATTTGGCATTTTCTTTGTGTCTTCCCACAAGCTAGACTATCTCCAACTGAATATACGCAAAGTAATTTTTGGTGTATGTGCTTGGGATCAAACCTAGGGCTTCATGCATGCTGGATAAAGGTTTTACTACTGAGCTACAAACTCAGCCAGACCCAAATATAATTCTAAATTCAACTGAACTATTTTTATTTAAGCCAATTGATTTGAATAAGGAAAGTTCAAATGAATAAATAACTAGATGAAAGTTTGGAAATAAGTCCAGAAACTCGACTTACATAACTATAGTAATATTAATGTTTCTTTAAGTTCTTTCTTAGGAATTTTTAACCAGCTGTTTGTGAGAAGCAAAGACATTGGTATTCTAAATTATTTGAGACCTTACTTTTAAAGCTACCCATTTTCTTTACAGAATCTTAATTTGGCCTTTTAATTGTCTCCCACATTACACTTACTCTTTCTCCCTAGTTGAGTCTATAAAACTAGAGAGTAGAATAGTATTCTTAGTTGGATGTGAATATGAAGAGTCAGTCAGTCTAGGTAGAAAATTCTATGAGATTTCATATCCAACGTAACCAGCAAAAATCTGGGCTAGAGGCACAGCTCAAGTAGTAGAGCACAAGTAGTAAGCAAGTAAGTTGAGTGCAAGTTTGAGGTCCTGAGTTTAAGCCTTGGTAGAATAGAAGGTCACATCTAACTTGACATTTGTTACATGTTATAGAATTCTGGTGACTATCCAAAAGCTGGCTCACATCTTTTTTTTCTGGGGAAAATATGTAATGTAATTGTCAGTAGAACCTTTCATGTTTATCAGAAAATGTTAGTGGCTATGCTTGAATTTAGTGAAGCCAGGAGAGAAAATAAGAGTCCTCTGGCTCATGGTATAGGAAAAGTCAGCATTGCTAACTCCCATTGACCATGGGCAAGCCTACCCCAAGGAGATTTCATTATCAAGCTCATCTGGTCTTCTAGGGAACCCTGAAACCACAGAGATTATAACAGCTGCAATAAATAAAGCATCTGTTCAATGCATTTCCATGCCAGATATTATTCAGCATTCTTTTGGCTTGGTTTGATAAAAAAAAAAAAAACAGCATGATGAACTTACTGCCTTACTTTATAGTGAGCCCCAGTAACTATGAAAGATTTAACTATTCATGCCTGTATATGAGTAAAGTCACAATGCTTTGACTTAAATTTATTAATTTAATAAAAATATAAAAACGTCTCTCTCCACTATTGAGAACTTACTTGAATTAATTTAGGCTTAATTTTTTTTTTCTCAGAGAGAAAATAGAGGAACATGCAGACTACCTGTACTGTATATATTCCAATGCTTAGGTTCGAAGGGACATTTAAAAATAAATATTACATATGTGACAATGCAAGGGAAAATATTATTAAGAAACCTCAACAGAATTTTTATGTAAATCTTACCATACAGTATTATGATCTCAGGGAAATTTTGTAATGTTTACTGAGTCTTCTGAGAGTTCATTTATTCAAGTCATATTTTAAGGAAGAACTTATAAGATTCAGATCTAAAATATAATTCTGTAATATGCCCAGCTGATCCCATTAAATCCAACCCAAAAAGGAAAGGTATAATGATGTGAACAATTCCCATTCTTTGAGTTGTTACACCTCACTTGAAATGCATTCCTTCTGGATTAAAACAGCAGCTTTTCTTTGTTTCTCTCTCCAGGCTGAGGTTCAACTATGCTACCTGGAAGCACAAAGAGATGCTGTTGAGCAGATGTCCCTCAAGCTGTACAGTGAGCAGTATACCAGTAGCAGCAAGAGAAAAGAAGAGTTTGCTGATATGTCAAAAGTTCATTCAGTAGGAAGCAATGGGTAGGAGACTATTCTTTTTGTTGTTTTATTCTCACTAATCTACTTTTTCAATGACTTTCCACTGGTAGGTGTCAGACAGTTGTTTCTTTCCTAGCTAAGCGACAAGAAAAACCTCAATAGACCAGTCATTTATTTCTTATCCATTTGTGCCAGAATTGAAGACTAGATTTTATCAGCCTCTGTCATCTAACTCAGAACTTCTGAAATCTATCGTTATTCTACTTTTTCAAAAACAGCCTTGTGGTTTTACAAGTATATTTGCAATTCTGTGGTATCTATAGTATTCATCTATTTATTTCATGCATCAAGAATTGCATTCAGTCTAAGACATATGGATGTGTGTGTAGTAATAACTATCCTTACTATTCAGTAATTAAGTCCTGAATTCACATATTTCTGAATGTCTTTAAAATTATGCAAATGTAATGTATTTATGGTGTTTCTGGGTCAATTTTAGTATTTAACAAATGATTATTAAAGAGTGAAAGAGTAGTAATTGAATTTAACTAGTTTTAGTAAGTTGATAATAGTCATATATAGAGAGAGATGTATATAAATGGAAACAGGAATCTGTTTCACTTTATACTTAAGGCAGCAAGAAGTACAAACCTCAAAAGTTACATTCCATGTTTGTGGAATGACATGAACCTGAAGTCTGTAACTCCAGACAGAATATTCTCTGAAAATGCCATAAGTACTTGTGTTGATTTATTTACCTTCTTGAGTCCTCATAGTTCTGACTGTACCTACAATTCCTATAAAAACTTACGGTTTAAGAATGCAGCGAAATAGTTCACAGTCACAATTTTGTTTAGAAAATAAGAAAAGAGCTTTAGAAATTTTGAATATACATATCTTGTGTTGATCTATCAGTTTATTTTCGATACATGCTAGATATGTAATTGATTCATCTTACTTGACTCAGGAAACTTTCTACTTACCAGAGAACGTCATAGCTATAAAAGAGAAAAGGTTAAATCTCAGAGCACAAACAATAAGCTGTTCTGAGACCATGTGCTTTAAGTTTTCCAAATGTCTAAATAGTCTCTGGTGTACATGCAAAAAATGAACAAACATATTTTCATGTTTTTTTCAAAAGCCCTGGGGATGGAACAGTACCAAGTACTTCCGACCCCAGATTCCATGGACTCAACCTGAGTATGTACTCTGGCCTCCACAATCATAAATCTGCCCTGGGAATTGCTTAGTTAACAACAAGCATTGTGTGGTGAAGTGGGAGTAGGTGAACTTGCCTGATATCCTTTGTTTATATTCCTTGGGGTGCTGAAGGCTTTGCATTGTGCAGAAATTTAAGGGTACATTGAAGAAAAGCCAGCCATTTAATAACTAAGGACACAAAAACATATACTCCTTTTTATTTTCTGTTTACATACAGAAAAGTATTGTTTGAGAAATGCATGTGGGTGAGGTTATCTGGGGTATCTTGCCCCTAAGACTTTGCTCTCACAGCCAAAACCTTCATTCTAGAAACTTAAGGTCATGTCCTTCTGAAACTATCTGTTACAATGATACATAAACTTCATTAACGGCTCCTTTTGCTACATAGAATGAGTATTGTTTTCAATAATAAATGTGGGAATAGTGTAGGCTTTCCAGAGTCCCAGGTCCTTATACAGATATCCAGTATTCTAAAAAGAAAATTAATCTTGTAGTAAAGTTCATCTATTTTATTTCTTCCCAGTGTCTATATACATGCTAAGAAGATTATACTATTGTAGTCAAAAGTATGCAAGATTATTCAGGGAAGGCTTGACTGCTACTTAAAATGCTGATTTTAAATTTCTAAAAATTTTATATAATAAAGTATTTATTTAAAAATGAATTTATAGCTCCTCTAGCTTAATAATATGTTGATCAAGATTTATACCCAACTGTGAATTGCATGGTTAACAGTCCTATATAGATATGGTGGGAAGATTTCCCTGAATGCCTGTAAGGCTGCCGGAGCTCTAGTCACTCTGTGTGTGGACCCTTAGTATAGACTCTGCCATAACAAAGGGAATCAGGGCTCTTATGGGACCTGCGGTATGTGAGTCTCTGCAAGAGAGTTCAGTGCTTTTTAATTAGGTAAAAACATATCAATTGTTTTGTTTCTCTTATCTAATAAATATTCATTGAGGGCAATACTATGTGTATAGCATGAAACTCTGATCATCATTTGTCAACATTTTATAAACTTAACTATCTCTTTTCCAGACCCTTTTTCAAGAGGTTGTCTGAATTTAGTTTTCAAATGCATTTCAAAATACAGTTTAAATCATTTTGTAGCACTCTACTTGTTGACAAACTTAATGTAGGTTAACAACTATGTTTTTAGTTCAGTATATAAATTAGGAAATTGAGATGCAAATGGCTGAATGACTCACTTACCTGAAGAAGAAACTTTTAGGAAGAGCTAAGTCCAAATCAGAGTTCCTGGTCAAGAATACAGGACTTCTAGTATGACAGTGTATATTTGTAATCTCAGACTTAAGAGATTGGAACAAGAGTATAATGAGTTCCAGGCCTGCTGGGGATACATAGAGAGATCTTGGCTAAGAAAATAAAATGAACAAAAATTACAATACCGATTCTAAAAAGGCATAGATTGCCCTCTCTCTGAAGATTCCAATGTATCCATGATAAAGTTTACACTAAATCCTGGTTTTTAATATTTTGCAATATATTAAAAGTAAATTAGCATATATTCCTAGTATCAAAATATTAGTCTTAAGGAGATTTCACAAAACCACCAAAAAAGCAAGGTGCTAATGGTTTACACCTACAAATCTAGCTACACAGGCAGCGGGGATCTGAAGATCAGGGTTTCAAGGCCAGTCTGGGCAGCAAAATCATGAGACTATTATCTGCAATTAGCCATAAAAATTGTGAAAGTGGAGCTGGTTTTCAAATGGTAGAGTTTCAGATTTGAGTGAAAATGCTAAGCAAGAGCTCCAGGTTTTGAGTTCAAGCCTCAGTACTGGTACAAGGAAAAGGATGTAGAGAGAAAGCCACCAGGAAATTCAGGCAAAACACAGTATAGCAAGTTTTAAACAAAGCTGAGCTGGGTGTAGTGGCACAAACCTGAATCTAGCCATTCAGGAGGTGAGTCAGGAGAATCATCTGAGCCCAGGAGTGGCCTGGGCAATACAATGTCGTGTATTTAAAAAATAGAACAACAGCAATAACACCTCAAACAAAAATTAACTCACCCGTCAATTTGAGAAACATTTTAAAGTACCTTTTTTATGTCAGACTTTGTATGAACAAGGTACAAATAAAATATCTCTATCATTGAGAAGTTCACAGTTTGATAAGAGAAGCTAGACCTGTGAACAAAATGGGGGGAAAAAAGGACTTGAAGCACTGAATTAGAAATCTATGTGGGTTAGGGGCAAGCTCACTGAAGACAGAGCTCAATTCAGGTCAGAAAAACAATAGAAAGAGAGCCCTGGAGATTTGTTGCTGGTGGTGGTCATGTGTCATGGGGCTTAAACTCAAGCCTTGGGTGCTGTTCCTGAGCTTTTTTGCTTAAGACTAGTGCTCTACCACTTTGAACTTCAATGCCACTTCTAGTTTTCTGGTGGTTAATTGGAGATAAGAGCTTCACAGACTCTCCTGTCCAGGATAGCTTTGAACCACAGTCCTCAGATCTCAGTCATCTGAGTAGCTGGTATTTACAGGCGTGAGCCACTGGTGCTGGGCTTTGGAGATGCCTTTTGAAAGACGGTTACAACAGGGAAAGAACTTTCCAATTTAATTTAAAAATTGCTTATTATTGTTAGGGGGAGTTTTGTAAATCATTCTTTAAGTAGTTGTACAAAGGAGCTGCCATTTAGCAAAGCAATTTATGAATAAAATATATATTACTTTCACCCTTTCAATATTCTCACCCATTCCTCCCCTATCCACCCTTCCCTCACTCTTGCTAATTTTGTAGGATATACAAAATTACAAAAAAAAACTAAAAACTTTTTATGTGTTTTTATTGTAAAAATACTGTACAGAGGTGTTAGTTACATGAATAAGGTAATGAGTACATTTCCTATCAAGCATTGTTACATCCTCCTCTGTTCTTCCCATACCATCCCTTCCTTCCCACCTCTCCAACTCCTCCCTCCCTGCCCCCCCACCAAGGTTGTAAAGTTCATTTTCTACATAGTGTCTTGTACATCTCATTGTTACAATGGGTCAACCTGTATCCTTATTTCAGCACTTTGTTATTTCCCTTCCCCTCCCCAAATTAGAAAAATGTATATACAAGATTCAGGGCACCAACATCAAATACAGTGAAAACAGAGGTTATACTGTGGGGGGAAAACATACAAGAGAAACAAAAAAAAATCCCATACTACATTTTAAATACATTAAAAACTATAGAGGGCTGGGAAGGTGGCTCAGTGGTAGAGCGCTTGCCTTGCATGCATGAGGCCCTGGGTTCAATTCCTCAGCACCACATAAGCAAAAAGGAAGAAAGCCAGAAGTGGTGCTGTGGCTCAAGTGGTAGAGAGCTAGCCTTGAGCTGAAGAGCTGAGGGACAGCGCCCAGTCCCAGAGTTCAGGCCCCATGACTAGGGCCCCCACAAAAAAAAAAAAAAAATAGAAAGAAAAAAGTACTTGTGTCCCTATCTTGGGATTCATTTCACTTAACATCATCTTATATGTTCATATGTATGGAGCTTTTGAACTTTTCGGCTTGACCTAGACTTATACTAGTTATTGCAAATAAGGAAATCATGGGATCTATGTTTCTTTGACCCTGGCTTACTTCAATTAATATAATTTTTTCCAAGTCTTTCTATTTCCTAAAAAATGGGCAATGTCATTGTTTCTGACGGAGACATAGAATTCCATTATATAAATATACTACATTTTCTTGACCCATTCATCTACTGAGGGGCATCCTGGGTTGGTTCCATATCTTAGCTATGGTAAATAATGCTGCAATAAATATAGTTGTGCTGGTAGCTTTAGTATGGCCTTGTTTGTGATCGTTTGGGT